GTCCTTGTTAGTTTTCCTTTTTTTTTGTTGTTGAACGTTACTGTCTAGTTACACCTCTAATTTTCGACACTTTTATAACCTATTTGTGTTGCAAATGCTGTGAAAATCTTACTTAACTTAAATGTATTCTAACCCACTGCTACTGAAGACTCTGCTCTTTCTGTTTGATTCAGACTTCCGGTAGTGTTCTCCAACGGGTGAAGGTAAACTTGACCCTCTATTCGGAACTTATTTGACCCAGAACGCATGTCCAGGGGTTTCCACTCTCTCGTGGGGCCATGTTTGGGTTGCTTCCACGTTGTGCTCGAAAAACGTTTTTAACCCTATCCGTACGTCGTGTTTAATATCGTATCTATACGACGTGGGGAACTCTGTGCCACCTCTATCCAAAGAGGAAATTTACTCGTCAATCCGGCTCGTACGCTTTGCATAGCTGTCTGTCAAAATGATTTTTTGAGAAATACTGAAAGTTTCAAAGAGATCTTCGTACTAGAAGTATTGTAAAATGTGAAGAATACAACCCCGAGGGTACAAAATGACACCAGGGCGTACGGATAGGGTTAAATTAGCTTGTTTTAAGAGTGGAGGAACGCGTGATTGGAGGGCGTCACTAGTAGGGCCTACTTCTTTTCTTTCCCTGTATAGTTTTTGTCTATCTGTTTTACCTTTTATTCCTGCATAAATGGCCGTTTCTGTGTCGATGTCCCCCTCTTTGCCCAAACAAACAAAAAAGTGGGTGATTGGCGGGGGCTCTGGTGTGGTTTGCTCCTACTCCTACTTTCCTATCAAACATCTGTCGTCCTTATCTCCTCTCCTTTTTTTGTGTATGTTACTCTCTTGTAACACATAATCTATTCTTCAGCACTTATATGACCTTATTGTGTTGCAAGTGCCCTAGAACTCTTACGAAAACTAAACAAACAAGAAAGAGGGGGGTATGGGGGTGGGAGGTTGTCGAATTTACATTTGCCCCTCGACCAATAGTGAAAGAACAACATACTTATTCAGATGTGGTACCGCAAAACTGGAAACCAGCAAGTGAAAAGGATTTTGACCTCTGGACAATCGCGGTCGGAAGGAGACAAAAAAGAGGAGGCAGTATCAGACAGATAAAGTCAGAGATCGGGGAATCTCGTACCGAGCAAGACATTTCGTTGTTTTTATCACCTTTGATTTTCACAGCGTGTTTTTCTACTGCCACAGTTCATATTGACGCAAGTCTCTAACATTGTGCGTTGATGTTTAACAGCTCCTTGAGGCATTGTACTGCCACTTGAGAACTATTGAGAATTGTGCTATTGAAAACGCAGGCTGAAATATTATATACTGTAAGAAAAAAAGGAAAACTAAGGCGACATTTTCTTCTCGACATTCAAGCGGGATATTGAATGGCGGACTGTATTTTTTTGAAGGTCAGAGCTTGGTATGTTCAATCCTACTGCTGTTAAAGTTAAATGGTTTCTACAAAGGGGTTGTCGCTGTTGCTGTTGGTGAAGAGAGTTTTGGTATGTTGATATTGTAACGTCCTTGTTTCACTAGGAACTGATTCGGTCAGTGGGTACGGGTAAAGTAGAACGTGCAAACAGCAGGAGAACACCCAGCAGCCTGTGATTTGTTTCTTTTGTTTGGGTGGGTGCTCTCTCTCTCTCTCTCTCTCTCTCTCTC